GTTGTCACACTCCTGCCCCAAGTCTGCCCAGCCAGCCTCCCTGCCCCCACCTGGAGAAATGCTACCTGTGTCCGCCTCTTCAAACATCCCGTAGAGACAGCAGCCTCCAGCCCCACCCAGCCGCTGTCAGTGTAGCAAATAAAGTCATTATTTTATTGGCTTGGCAGTGCCTGTTTCCTACCTGGTACCTGAGCCAGGTGCCCAGCTGGCAGCCCCTGCCCCGTGTCTGCTCCTGGTGCCCCTGATTTTTCAGACCACAGTAGACACCTCTCTGGGCCTCCATTTCTTTAGTAATATTTCTGGGTGCAGCTGTTTCTGGTGCTGTTAGGCCTGTAGCATTGTCATGTCCCCATGTTACAGACACAGAAACAGGCTTAGAGGTCACACAAGTCAGAGGTGGGGCCAGATGGCTTTGACTCCAGGATCCACTCTTAACCTGACTACCTTCCTGCGGGGGCAGAAAGACAAAGGACTTGCCTCAGGCAAGTGCCAGTCCCTAGGTGACATTTAACAGGGCAGCTCCTCTGTCTCCCCCACCCCACTTCCTGGGACAGGTTTGTGGTCCAGTTCCTCCCTCCGGTGAAAATCCAGGCTCTGAGCCCACATCTCCCCGCCAAACCATGTGTACTGTCCTCCCGGGAAGGCTAGGTGCTTCTGACCTCACCCCACCGGCGGGCCGTGGCCAAGCCCTACTCTGGGATGGAACTCGGTGGTCGGGCCCATCTGGGCTGGGCAGGGGAAAACAGGAAGCAAAGACTGATCCCTGCCCTCCAGAAGCCCTGCCCACCCCATTACTGGAAGCCCTGGCATCATCCCCAGCCCTGCCCAGCAGGAGCTCAGTAAATGTTGAGTCAAACTGAGGAAGGGATGGTGGGTGTGAAAAGGTAATGGGATATCAGGCACATTCACAGAGCGGCCGTGGGCACGGAGTCATCAGCCGGCAACTGTTGGGTGGCGTTTGCTGTTCAAGGGGAGGCCAGAGGACACACTGAGAGGCCTGGGTGTGAATGCCCCCTCCACCCTTAGCCAGTTCATGCATTTAGTGGGCAGTCATGTGCCAGGCACAGTGGTGAACAAAAACCAGCCTTTGCTGGTGTGCAGCGTGTAACCTGGTATGAGACGATTAGGAAAGGAGCAAATCTGCCCGGCCAGTGTGGCTCAGTGGTTGAGCGTCGACCTATGAACAGGAGGTCACGGTTTGATTCCTCATCAGGGCACATGCCCGGACTGTGCAGGCTCGATCCCCAGTGGGGGGCATGCAGGAGGCAGCCAATCAATGATTCTCATCATTGATGTTTCTCTCCCTCTCCCTTCCTCTCTAAAATCAATAAAAATATTTAAAATAAGAAAAAGGAGGAGCAAATCTCCCAGAGCACACACACCCACTACTCCCTCCTGAGAAGCCACCCCCTCTGCTTAGGCCCTTTGGGCCAGGGGAGTGGGTGGGAGCAGCAGAGAGGATCTGGAAGCCAGGACATGAGAGTAGGCAGCCTTGGGGCCTCGATTTCCCCCTTTTGACGAGTAGGGGGTGGGGTTTCTACCAGGCCATTTCTTTTCCTACTCAAGTGCCTATTAGGGGTGAAGGGCTAAGGGAGGGTACAGAGGGCTGGGGTGGCCCCAAGGGACCATAGCACTCCGGGTGACAAAGAAAATAGACACTGAAGGTGGCAGATACTCATTCATTCCACAAACCAGCACCGAGGAACAAGTGATGCCCGGGACATAACAGGAGGCCCCCCCTTATCCACAGGGGATATGTTCTGAGACCCCTAGTGGATGGATGCCTGAAACCACGGATAATACTGAACCCTACATACACAGCCTTTTCCCAGGCATACCTATGATAAAGTTTATAAATTAGGCACAGTGGGAGAGTAAGAACATAACTAATAAACGAGGACAATTGTAACAATATGCTATAATAAAAGCTGTGCGAAGATGGCATTAAATAAAATAAGGATGGCGAACACAGCACTGCTGCTGTGACTGGGTCTGAACCGAGACAGCTACTCAGTGACTAACAGGCGGACAGCACGGACCCCGTGGACAAAGACGGGTTCATGTCCAGCTGGATGGAGTGAGATAGTTTGAGATTTCATCATGCTACTCAGAATGGTGTGCAATGTAAAACTTATGTTTCTTTCTGGAATTTTCTATGTAATATTTTCAGACCGCAATGTTCCATGGCTAACTGAAACTGCGGAAAGCAAAAGCACGGATGAGGGGGGACTGCTGGACTTAGTCCTGTCTAATAAGATTCAGAGTCTAAGGAGTAGGCAGTTGTGGGGAGCATGATGGGGTGAGGACCGAGGATGCCCCAGAGGCAGAGGATCTGCACCCCCCACTCCGCCAGTCTCTCCCAGGAGAGTCAAGTGACTTCATTCATTCATTCATTCATTCATTCCACAGATGTTCACTGAAGAGCTGCTGAGCCCGGCTCTGTGCCTAATCAGCAAAAACCCAGGGTGAGCGCAAACTTGTCCCTGTCTTCATGTGGTGGACAGGCTCATCGAAGGGTCCCCCAGACACGGGGGAACAGGACAGTTGAGAGCAGTAAAGCAGAAGGTTCTGGAGCATGACAGGGAGAAAGGGCAGGCTCCTCTGAGGAAGGGAGGGTTCCATCTACAACCAGGAGGAGGTGGGCCTCACAGTGTTCAAGAGGAAGAAGAGCTTGAGCAAAGGCCCTGTGGCAGCAGAGAAAGGAGTTTAGTGAGAGCCGGCCAAAAGGTCATGTGGCTGGAGGGGGACCATGCAGGGAAGGAGGAGGCAGAGCCAGACCAGGATAAAGGGTAGGGCCCTTGTGGGCCACAGGGGAGCTCAGCCTTGACCCTAAGTACCATGGAAACGGAGGAACGGCTTTCGGCTTTCCAGAAGGGGCCAGGGTCTGAGGCGAGCAGGGGAAGGCAGGGCCCACTTGGAGGTTGTTAGAGTCCAGGCAAGAGATAGTGGTGGCTTACACCGCTTTGGGGGCAGAGGACAGACTCACAAGGTATTTTGGAGGCAGAGTTAGTGTCTGCAGCTGTGTTGGATGCCGGGGCTGAGGTCAGTAGAAACCACAGTAACAGGAGGATGGTGGGGCCACTCCGGGAAGGAGAACACCTTCCAGGGCCAGGTCTGGGGGAGGGCCAGGGGTCCTGAATTTGGACTTGGATCCTTGTTGAATCTATATGCCTTGGGGGACACTGGCGGGCCAGGCCTGGCAGGCTGGAGCCCGTGGGCTGACAGAAATGCTGGGTATGGAAGCCACTCAGCCAGAGATGAAGACAACCCAGAAGGCACAGCCAGAGGCAGGAGCAAAAGCAGGCCAGGGAGGGTGTCCTCCAAGCTGGGAGAAGCGCGGGGAGCGCAAGGCTTTCTTCCCGCTGAGCGGCTCCGGGGGATCCCCTTTATGAGCCTCGGTTTCCCCCTCTGTAAAATGGGGTACCACTGACTGCGGGCCGGATGCGATGGGAGATAAGGAGAAAGCGTCCTGCACAATTAGGTGTTGAACAGACCCGAGGACGGCCCCGCGGG